GCGCCGTCCCGGCCGGGCCGGCCATTTTGTCGGAGCGGCGGTTTTCCGTCGGGAACGCGCGGGGCTCCCGAGACGCAGCTTGACGTCACCTCCCGCGGGGCTGCGCTGGGGCGAGGTCCCTCCTGCCTCCCGGATCCGTCCCCTCCGAGCGGGACGACCCGCGGAGGGTCCCCTCTTCGGGGCTCCCGTTTTGCTCCCGTTTTGCTCACAGCATCCGCAGGACAACGATATCCCGATGCCTTTCGGATGGCACCACAGGAGCATTTAGCACCCGCGCGGCGTCCGGCACGGCCGGGGCAGCTCCGGTAGCTCCCGCCGGCTATGCGGATAATTCCCTCGGCTCCCTCCGCAGTAATTCATCCGCTTGGGAGCCCCGCAGTGGATTAGGTTTGAATTTGAGCCGATGCTGCAGAACAAACGCACATCTGCTGTGCTCACAACACGCAGCATATTTAAGCTCGTTTAGATGCCACGTTTATTACCTCAGAGTTTCCGAATGCCTCTAGATTAAAGCAAGAGGTGGTAACAGCGCTATGGAGCGGGGCTGAGGGCCGCAAATCCCACTGGAAGCGCGGAAACGCGGCCGCTCCGGAGTCTCGGAGCCAAAACCCACCTCCTGGAGGTGATTTCTCCAGGGCAGAGTCAATTCCGAGCAGCAAAAGTGATCCCAAATGCGGTGAAATTTAGGAGCTGGTCACTTTAGGAGCAGGAATTTGTGTGTTTCGGGGTAGCGGTGTTGCCAGTTTTGTGTGTGGGGCTGTCACCTCCAGCTGGGGGGACTGTTCACTAGTACCCTGGTTGCACTAACACCTTGTTTTTCTCTTTGCAGCTGTTTGCAGACAAGGTCCCAAAGACAGCAGGTTGGTTTAAAAAAAAGAGGCAGAGACTGCACTGCAGTGGCCTTAAATCACTTTTTATAGTGTCTTGCTTTATAACCTCCAGGCAAAATGAACAATTTTCCTTTTTTCCTGAAACTGCAGAAAACTTTCGTGCTCTGAGCACTGGTGAGAAAGGATTTGGCTACAAGGGATCCTGCTTCCACAGAATCATTCCTGGGTTCATGTGCCAGGTAAGTGGGCAAGAGGCGGATGAAATCCATAAATGTCCAGGTTAGTGTTACCAGGAAACTGGAAACGCTGCCGCTTTTCAGGGCGGCGACTTCACGCGCCACAACGGAACCGGTGGCAAGTCCATTTATGGGGAGAAGTTCCCTGACGAGAACTTCATCCTGAAGCACACGGGCCCCGGCATCTTGTCCATGGCCAACGCCGGCCCCAACACGAACGGATCCCAGTTCTTCATCTGCACTGCCAAGACCGAGTGGTGAGTAGGGGGCCGCATCCGCATCCCTGCCGGAACCACAGGGATGTGGAGCTGCCTTTGGGGGCTGCAGCTGGCCGGAGGTGACGCGCACTTGTCCCACAGGTTGGATGGCAAGCACGTCGTCTTCGGCCGCGTCAAGGAGGGCATGAACGTGGTGGAGGCCATGGAGCGCTGCGGGTCCAAAGATGGCAAGACGAGCAAGAAGATCACCATTTCCGACTGCGGGCAGCTCTCGTAAAGGAGAAAAAAAGGAGAAAGAAAATGAAAACCCGTTGTCTTAATGACCAACCATTCCTTCTGTAGCCCGGGCTCGCGCGCCGCGGTGCGCTGCGGCCCCTGTAATCCTTGTGCTCCTGACTTAACTGCTGCGTTTCTATTGGGTTGCATCCCCCCACGTTCACGGTCTAGCGGGACTGCAGAGTTTGACGTTTATGAATCTAAATAAAAACGAGTTAAACCACAGCGGTGCTTCCCGGTGTCCTTGTTCCCCCTTCCTGGGTTGGGAGGGGAAGCAGCTATGGGAGGCCTTGGAGCTGTTGGCCTGGGGCCTTGCTGGCCTTTCCAAGAGGCTTTTCCTGGGGCTGGAGTGTGAGGGACAGCTGGTGGCAGGAGGCTGGCGTGTTTCCATAGGGATCCCAGTGTGGATGAATGGGTGAGCAGGCAGGATGTGGCCCTCTCCTGGCCAAAGTGGGGTTTTCCCTGGCTTAGGGTCCTCATTAGGGTTCAGAGTGAACATGCCCCATGTGGCAGGGATTGAGCTGCTCTGGGGTGGGGGGGATTTGCCAATGGGGACACAGAAGTGGTCCCACTGGGATGGGGTGACACAAAGGGGTCCAAGTTGGGACCCTGAGCTTATTTTGGGGTGGGGGATGAGCTGACCCATGTGGCAGGAGTTGGTGTTTGGAATGCGGTGGGGACAGTCCCCTCACCTCCCTGGGTGCTGTTTAAACCTGTGCCACCAGGTGGCATTGGGGACCCTTCAGCTGGGCTCACCCGTGGGGACAGATCTGGAGGCTTCAGGCCTGGATTTGGAGGGCTGCAGAAATGTCCAGGGGAAGGGGGCAAGAGGAGGGGGCAGCACCCCCAGTCTGGGGCACCCACCTCTGGCCATGGCCATGTGTCTGTCCATCCACTCATCTGTCAGCTTGTCCATCTATCTCTCCATCCACCCATCCATCTCTCTGTCTGTTCATCTGTCCATCCATCTGTCCATATACCCATCTCTGTCCATCCACCCCTCTGCCCATATGTCTGTCCATCCATCCGTCTATCTCTCCATCCACCTGTCCATACACTCATCCGTCTGTCTGTCCATCTATCTCTCCATCCACCCACCCATCACTCTGTCTGTCCATCCATCTGTCCATTTATCTCTTCATCCATATGTCCATACACCCATCCGTCTGTCCGTCCATCTATCTCTCCATCCACCTGTCCATATACCCATCTGTCTGTCCATCCATCTGTCCATCCACCCCTCTGCCCATGTGTCTGTCTGTCCATCCATCCGTCTGTCTCTCTGTCCACCTGTCCATATACCCATCTGTCTGTCCGTCCATCTGTCCATCCACCCCTCTGCCCATGTGTCTGTCTGTCCATCCATACGTCTATCTCTCTGTCCACCTGTCCATCCATCCATCCACCTGTCACTTTGTCCATCTGTCCATCCCTCCGCCTGTCCATCCACCCCCCGTCCATCCACCCCTCTTCCCACCTGTCGCTCTGTCCGTCTGTCCCTCCATCCACCCAAATCTCTCCGCCCACCCGCCCCGTCCATGTGTACTGCCCATCCCCGTGCCCGCTGGCTCCCGTCCCGCACCCCGCGGCC